AAAAAAAAAAAAAGAACATTATCATCTTTGTGTCAACAAATGTTCATAGAAATTTAAAGACCATGAAGTAGAATAAGAAAGATTAAGTTATGTAATAATAAGCCTTGTAGGATGGTTTGGGGCACCAGCATTTGTAACCTTTAAATCTACATTCTCCAATTTAAAGTTCCACGAACGTTTCTTAGAAGTGTCACATATATTCTTTCTACATTGGCAGCAATGAAGTAAAATTAACTGGTCATACCTACAACATCAAAACTCCAAAATCATATACAAATATTCTATGATATTCAAGTCATCTTGGACAGAGTAAAGGTATTTTTAGTTATTGTCACAACTGGTGTGCTTGTGGCAAGGGTTGGAAATACATAACCAGCATTTAATGGGTAGGAACACAGCTAAATATCTGACAATACATAGAAAATCCCCACAACAAAGAAATATCCCATCCAAAGACATAGTACCAAGGTCAAGAAAAGCTTATTTAGACAATCAAAAACACTCTTTCTTATTTGTAAAACTTGCAGACTGAGGTTCAAGACCAGTACTTTAGATTCAGGCACTAGGGTAAGGCAAATACCCTCTTATTATTATCTTCTCCAAATTGGCTAATACTTCATTTTCAAATCAGTATCTAATAAAACTGTCATACTGAAAATTAACAAAAAAAGACAAATGAATTTTCTTAGGATTGGATCCAAATTACCTTAAACTTACTGAAATTTATAACATACTTAGTCTTCATGTCCAGGAAAATAGTATGTTTCTCAAATTTTCCCCCTAAATCTTCATTAACAAAATTTTATAGGTAACTTTAAAAAAGAAATTGAGATTTTCACTTTGAGGTCCATGAATACTTATTTGGATTTCAGGACTTCCACTATATAGGCAAAATGTTATCCAAGTACTTTGTGTGAGTGTGCATGAACACTGAAAAACTGAAAGAAAAATTATTTCCATGGCCCATCAAATGGTCCTTCTGTTGAGACACAAGAGTAAAGGCATCAGTGTCTTAAAAAATTTGTCATTGAATCTTTCCCAAAGAAGAAACTTGAGGATGTGCTTCACCAAATCACAGAAACACCATCATATACAAGACACTAAAAAAAATCTAGCATCATGGTGAGGATAAACTCTAAATGAGAGGTGAGCAGGAGGCCTGGAGAGCAGGCAGTCAAGACTAACAAAGGAAAACAGGATGACAGGCGACGTCTCTCTAGGAAAAGAAAATGCCAGTGTCTGACCCAATGGAAAATAGCATTGGGAAAGGTTTAACCATGGTGATAGTAACAATGCTAAGAATAAATAAAAGCCAGCAAATAAATATAAAAATAAAAAAGGAATTCATTTTAAAATCTAGAATGAACTAAATAGTATACATGTTGTTGTTGTTGTTGTTAAGCGTCATCAAGTCAATTCTGACCCATAGCAACCCTGAATAAGGTTTCCAAGGAGCAGGTGGTGAGCTTGAACCACCAACCTTGAAGTTCAAATGGCTTTTCAGTCTGGCACATTAACCCACAACGCCACACCAGGACTCCAGTATACATGTAAAGGAACAAACTTATGAAAAATTGCTTGCCTCAGTAGTGAATAATACTTTGTTGTTATTGTTCAATGCTGTCAAGTCAGTTTTGACTACCAGTGATACTCTATAGGGTTTCAAAGACGGGACTGGTGGGTTTGAACTACAGACCTTGTAGTTCAAACCGACCTTGCGATACAGTGCTTTATCCTACACCAGGAATCCTCTTATATTAGAACATTATTTGGTGGGAAAAAATCTAAAGTGAAAAATCATAATGATGTATTTGGTGGTAGTGGTGATGGTGTGCCATAGAGTGGATTCAGACTCATAGTGAAGTGACCCTATATAGTGTTTCCGAGGCTATAAATCTTTACAGAAGCAATAAGCCTCATCTTTCGCCCTCCTTTTGTGTTTTTGTTTCCCTAAGCTTTTCTCTTCCACAGTGTTAGCATAGTAGAGTGAATAACATAGAAAGCAATAATATTTAACTTAATCTTGTACTGAACATTCAGAAAAGAAATGCAAATTCTTTTAAAGATTCCATTAATGTATATTTCATACAGCTAAAGCAAATAATAATAATAATAATAATGGTGTTGGTGAACACCATAAAAAAAATTAATGGTGTTGGCGAACAGTACTGAATATATACCAGTGGTTGCCAAAAGAACAAACAGAGCTCTTGTAGAAGAAGTATAGGCAGAATGCTCCTGAGAATTGAGGATGAAGAGATTTTTGTCTTTTGTACTTCGGACATGTTATCAGGAAGGACCAGCTCCTGGAGAAGGATATCGTGCTTGGTAAAGTAGAGGAGGGTCAACACACAAGAGGAAGACAAGACCCTCAGTGCAGCACATGGTGGCTGCAACACTGAGCTCAAATATAGCAGTGAATATGAGGATGCTGCAGGACCAGGTGGTCTTTCATTCTGTTGTACATAAGGTGACTGTGAGTGTGCATTTACTCGACAGCTCCTAACAACAACAATGCAAAAGAAAACCATGAGCTACATTCCAAAGAATAAAATAAGTATTTGTCCTTTTGTCATTTCGCATGATCAAAAGCACCAGCCCTTTGATTAAAGCAGGTAATCAACAGTGGACATCTACAGCCAATTTATAATTTTACGGGTCAAAATCCAATTTCTAAACAGTTTTAAAATTTATAATTAACTAATCAGATCAAGAGAAACAAAAACACAAAAGGAGATGTAATTTTTCACTTTCACCATATGTTCCTGCAAATTTTCAAAGAACCCATAGTCCTATAATTGATCATTTACAACAATCAATGAAGTATGTAATTTTATAAATTCTGTATTCCACCCTAAATAATGAGCAGGAACTCACTGTCAGTGAATGCATCTTCTTCTTCTTCTTCTTCACTGCCATCAGATGGACCTTTGTAAGGAGGGGGCAGTTTCATTGGAGGGGGAGCAGTTCCTCGCCTCTGAAGGTGCAAAATTGAAGAAAGGATAATTGTCTTTGTACAATCCCCATCCTCAATTAAAAGCAAAATAAAGTGAAAATCCACAACTATTTTGACTATACCTAACTTCAATCACATTAGAAGAACTTTAATGCAAACACAATTATCCTCTTAAGCTTTTGTTCTGTAAAAATAACTGTGATGCAAATATTGCAAAAAAGATAAATTCAAAAGCCCAACTTTTAAAACTGTTAACCTATCAAAAAGAATATACTCCTTTCCCATAATAACAAAGCCCATTAGGTACATGTTTCTCTATGCCAAAATATGAAATACCAAGATTTTCTAACTGAACAGGTATACATCTATAACTAGTTGTTAGTCAACATACATTCCTAAGTTCTTTGTTGTGGTTTTTTTTTTGGTAAATCTTAACAAAGAATAGTTGTTCCAATTTCTGCATTAATATTAATTAAAATCACACACCCCATGATACAGCACATATCAGTACTTGGTTCAAATAAGCTAACTAAAAACAAAACAAAACTCTCTGATCAGATTACCTTCACAGAACGGAGACATGTTCTTGATCGGTGAGAAAAATAAAACATGCTAAAATTTACAGAGATCCAAGCTGCTAAAATGAATAGGAGTCAACAGATTCAATCTCTCTACACATATCAAAATAACTGTACTAAGATTTGTTTTGCTTCAGTGTTTCAATAAAATACATTCAATGATGTTTATAGAATAAAACCACTAATGGCAGGATATACTTCAGTAAGTGGACAATAACTGGTCCATTACAGAAAGCTGGTATGTAATAAATTCTCCAAAATAGAAAACAATATTTGAGATCATAAAACAAAACATGCACTCAGAATCACTTCAGATAATATCGAGCCAAAGAAGTACTTTATATATTTGTAGAAAAATCAAAAGGAGATAGATGGAAGAAAGATTAAGGAAGATGCCAAATATGAAATTTTTATTAAACAATGGGAGAAATAAAAAATGTGATCACTATCTTTTTAGTCTTTATAGAACAAGCTTAAACGTGAAGGAAATGAAGAGTACAATGTCAAATGAACTCTTATCAGAAAGCCTTGTCTTCAGGCTTAGGTGATTCTAGGTCAATAATGATATTCACAGCTAGGAGATACAGCTTTTATAAAAACATTAAGAGACCTGAATTATGTTTGACAGCATTTTTAAAACTCTATTATTATTATTTTTTAATTTAAGGGAAAGCTGTTTATACAATAAACTTTTTAATTAACTCCTACTAATACTAAAAACCAAGGAGCTCTGGTAGCATAGTGGTTACAAATCGGGCTGTGAACCTCAGGGTCAGCAGTTCAAAACTACCAGCTGCTCTGCAGGAGAAAGATGAGGCTTTCTGCTCCCGTAAAGATTTACAGTCTCAGAAACCCTGTACAGGGTCACTATGAGTCGGAACCAACTCCACGGCATATAACAACAACACAATACTAAAAACCAGCCACTCCTTGGAAACCCTATACAGGGTCCCTATTGTTGTTGTTGTTGTTAAGTGCTGTCGAGTCGGTTCTGACCCATAGCGACCCTGTACAGGGTTTCCGAGGCTGGAAATCTTTACGGGAGCAGAAAGCCTCATATTTCTCCCACGGAGCAGCTAGTAGTTTCGAACTGCTGACCTTGTGGTTTGCAGCCCGATTCGTAACCACTACACTACCAGAGCTCCTATACAGGCTCCCTATACAGGGTTGGAATTGACTCAATGGCACTTAACAACAATAACAAATGCTCTAGGAAAACATATAAACATTTCCTTATCTCCAGTAGCTTGAATATGGTTTACACTGCACAAAGGAGATCGGGGTAGGCAGGATCAGGCCCTCCCTGTGGTGAAGTGAGTCAGAGTAAACTATTTGTTGTTGTTAAGTGCCGTTGAGTCGATTCCGACCCATAGCGACCCTGCACAGGGTTTCTGAGGCTGTAAATCTTTATGGGAGCAGAAAGCCTCATATTTCTTCCACGGAGCAGCTAGTAGTTTCGAACTGCTGACCTTGAGATTCGCAGCCCAATTCGTAACCATATATAACTGTTATTGTTGTTGTCAGTTGCTATTGAGTAGATTCGGGTTCATGGAGATCCTAACATGTGCAGAGGAGAACTAATCCATAGGTTTTCAAGGCTGTGACTTTTTGGAATCAGATTGCCACTCCAGTGCCCCAGGATGTCTCTGGGTTGGTTTGAACCACCAGTCTTTTGGCTAATAATCAAGCTAATAAGTTAGCACTTAACCATCTGCGCCTCCCAGGAATGTCTCTAATACAAAGTTGTTGGAGTATAGTGCCTAGTCACTTCTAAGTCTAAGCAGGCCTCCATTAACTAGTTGCTGCCTCTGTTAACTATTTGCAGAATGAGTAAACAACTGGCTGTCACTCATGTGGTTTCCATTCCCTAACTCTGCACAAAAGCTACCAAGCAGAGCCATCACTAGTGGTTCCTGTCACCCCATCATCTGGTATAGAGCACACATAGGACTTGAAAGATAGGACAAAATACCGAAGTTTAGGTCACAGATCAGGAAACATTTTTTGCCAACAATAGCAAATATTTTAGACTTTAGATCAATACGGTGTCTGGTACAACTACTCAACTCTACACTGTAACACAAAACCAGGCATTATTGTTGTTAGATACAAAGTAAAATATAAAAAAAATTCCTTAAATACCAGGAAAAAGATCAGCTATCATTTAAAAAAAACAAAAAAAAAAACATAGTACTGAAAGTTTTAATAGATATATTAAACCAAAAAAAGAAATACTGAACAAAAAGTACATTTTATTTTTTAAAAAGGTTATTATTATCTATACGTTGTTGTTGTTGTGCCATTGAGTCAGTTCCGACCCATAGCAACCCAGTATAGGGTTTCCTAGGAGCTGCTGGTGAGCTTGAACCACCTATCTTGCGATTCAAACCAACTTTGCAGTTCAGTGCATTAAACCACAGCACCACACTAGGACTCCTATTAACTATACAGAAAACCCCAAAATAAAAATCTATAGCTATAGTATTAGACTTTGAGACTCAAATTTCTTTATGGACAAAAACAGTTGTTCTTGTTGTTATGTGCTGTGGAGTTGGTACCGATTCATAGCGACCCTGTACAGGGTTTCCAAGGCTGTAAATCTTTATGGGAGCAGAAAGCCTCACCTTTCTCCTGTGGAACAGCTGGTAGTTTCGAACTGCTGACTCTGAGGTTCACAGCCAGATTCGTAACCACTATGCTACCAGAGCTCCTAGTATTTCTGCATTTTGTTTTTACAATGTTTTACAGGAGTACTAGTGTGGTGCTGTGGGTTAACACGCCAGACTGCAAAGCCGTTTGAACTGTGAAGTCAGAGGTTCAAGCTTATCAGCTGCTCCTTGGAAACCCTATAGAGGGTCACTATGGGTTGGAACCGACTCGACGGCACTTAACAACAAAAACAACAACATAGTGATTATGTAATGGTATGAAACAGTAAGAGAATTGAGTTAATAAGATGTCAAATCAATATGCTAAAGTCCATGTTATTTTTACATACCAACAATAAACTGAAAATGCAATTAAAACGCATTATTTATATGTAACAAAACATAAAAGAAAAAACATGTAAGGATATTTAGTAATAAATTAAACAAAATATTTGAAATGCTTTTCTGAAAAAAAGTGTAAGTATTATAAGATGTAAAAGACGAATTCAGTAATGGATTCTTAATGTTAATGGTTAAGAAGGCTCAGTGCCATAGATTTGCAAACTTTTTTCCAATTAATCTATAGAGTTGATACTATTCAAGGAGATTTTTTAATGTAATTTGATAAGCAAAATTAAAAATGTAAATGGCAAAGAAAAAGACACAAATATGCACGATACATTTGGGGGTGGGTGGGAAATGTATATATATTTAAGCGATTTGCTCAACCAGACAGGATAGATTATAAAACTTGAATAATTGTGGCAGTATAGTGCTTGGTCTAGGATTCCCAAACTGATAAAATGGTACAAAGAGCCAGAAACAGACTCCCCCAATAACTCAAAATCCAACCATTGCTAAGTACCATCAAGTCTACTCCCACTCATAGTGACCCTGTATAGTGTTTCCAAGGAGCAGCTAGTGAGGGACACTATACATCAGTGGGTAAAGAAGGTTCTATTTTTAAATTGTAGGACAATTAATTATCTTTATGGGGGATGGAAACTACTAGAAAAAATCCCTAGCTGATATCATTTCCTAAAGAAGAATTTTAGCTCTGTTCCTTCACTAAAATACAAGTAGAAAAGCAGGCATAGATGCTTAATCCTGACTGACAGTAAAGAAACTTTTCTTAGTAGAGATGTCCTTTGACCAGTCCTTAATGGAGAAGCAGTCTCATTAAGGAGCACCATGGGAAACACACTTCCAGGATGAGAGAGCAACAAGAGAAAAGTCCTAGACACTCTGTATGGGTGAGAGGCAAATGCTGGAGATGAATAGGTAACCTGCTCCGCTGAACTGGACAAAAACCAACATGATGGCTGCTTGGCCCTTTACATCACTTGTTTTATTAGGCACCTGCCCTTTACTCTGGCCAGATCAGCTATGTCAGGAAAGGAAACATTGTATATATAGTATAGTACTTTCATCTAAAGTGTACAGAGCACCAAAAAGCTAGTCTTAATTACAGCTCAGCTATGCAAGAGGGAAATAAAAGCATCTTTAAAAAAAAAAAAAAAAAAGGTTTATTAGGTTTTATTAGGCTTATTAAGTTACCTTTCCTTTGTTTTCTTGGTTGTCTTGATTCTGATTACTGATGATTTTGCTGACCTTAGTCTGAACACCAGGGATTACCTATCACCACAAAAAAGGAAAGGTGGGGAGAGAAAAAGAAAGCAAAATGTTTCAGTGCTACAATCATTACCCTTATAAAATATTTTAAAAACAAAATCTTCATGAGTTTTGCATCTTATACAACAAGTAAAGGTAACAGAAGTACAACTTAAAGCAAACAATTGTTAGCTCCATAGAGTCTGCCCTGATTTTATAGGTTCTTTAAATGTATAACTAAGAGTTTCATTATAAAATCTGATGACAGACCTCAAGATTAAAAAACATAAAATAAAACTGAATCTTGTTTCAAAGAAAATTGAGGGTATTGAAATGAAATTTAACACTGCATTTTATCCAAATGAACAAACTGAATTAATTGTGGAACAGATAATAAAATCTCAGAAATGGACAAAATACTGAATGATGAAGAAAGCATCAAATGATGGAAGGAATACAGAGTTACTGTACCAAAAAGAAATGGTCGATGTTCAACCATTTTAAGAGGTAACATATGATCAAGAGCCAATGATACTGAAGGAAGAAGTCCAAGGTGCATATTTTGTGAAATGGAGGGTTGGAGAAAAAGAGGAAGACCCCCAATGAGATGAAATGGCACAGTGGCACCAACAAAGACCTCAAACGTAGCAACAATTGTGAGGTTGGCAGAGGGCCAGGCAGTGTTTCATTCTGTTGTACATAGCATTCCTATGAGACGGCACCAACTCTATGGCTCCTGCAAACAACATCCTTCATGAACACAGATGTAAAAATTCTCAATACCTTAGCAAATAGAATTCAACAATATATTAAAAACAATAATGCATCATGACCACGTGGGATTTATTCATGGAATGAAAGGAAGATACAACATCAGAAAAACCACATAATCCACCACATACATAAAACAAAGGAAAAGAACCACATGATCATTTCAATTGATGCAGAAAACGCATTTGCCAAAATCCAACACCCATTACTGATAAAAACACTCAACATAATGGGAATAGAAAGGAAATGCCTCAACATAATTAAGAAAGATATATACAAACCCAATAGTCAACATAACTCTGAATGAAGAGAAAGTGAAGCATTTCCTTTGTGAACAAGAAGTAGCCAAGGAAGCAGTTTACCACCATTCCTAATCTATATTGTGCTGGAAGTCTTAACCATAGCTAAAAGACATAAAAGTGAAATTATAGACATGCAAATTGACAAAGAAGAAGGAAAACACTCTGTTTTAGAAGATATGATCCTCTATATAGAAAATCCCAAAAACTAAGCAAGAAAATTAATGGAACTCACTGACAGATTCAGCAAACTGGCAGGATACAAGATCAATAAAGGAAAATCAGTTGGAATCCTCAATACCAATAAAGACAGCTCTGAAGAGGAAATTAGGAAAACAGTGCCATTTACAATTCCCACCAAAAAGATAAAACACTTACGAGTAAATGTAATCAGAGAAACATAAGAAATATACAAAGAGAACTACAAAACATTAAAAGATACAAAAATGGCATCCAAAAATAGAAGAATATACCATATTCATGGATAAGAAGACATAACATTGTGAAAATGTGAACACTACCCAAAACAATACACAAATATAATGCAATCCCAATCTAGATTCCATATCATTCTTTTAAAAAATGGAAAAATGAGATGACTGGGTTTCCATCTCTTTAAAGATGAAACATCCCATAACATGAATGAACCTGGAGGACATTATGCTGAGTGAAATTAGTCAAGCACAAAAGGACAAGTATTTTATGAGAGCACTATTATAAAAACTCAAGAAAAGGTTTTCATTCTAAAAGAAACATTGATGGTTATCAGAGTAGTAGGGAAGGGATTCAGTAAACAGAGACTTGCTGTTGTTGCAGTTAATTGCTGTCTAGTGGGTTCCGACTGCAGACACATGTTATAACAGGGTTACAATATACAAAAAGAGGGAGGCTGAAGAATAATGAAGACAGGTGAAAACATAGGGAGGTATACAAGTGCTAAAAGGGGCTAGAGGTAAATAGTACTATAATCACAACTTTGGAATAACCGTGTGCAGTGGGTAGATCCATGGACAAATACAAATGCTGAGTAGGTATGGGACGAAAAGTAGGGGCATTATCACAAATACATAAGGGTGTGAAAGAGGATATTGGTACATGGATATTTACTATTTTTACAAACACACCTATGAATGTGTGGTGCACATAAGACAAATTATGAAAACATCTTAGATGTTATCAAACTTCTGATGAAAATGATTTGCTGGGCCTGGGAGTTCAGAACCACAGTTTCAGGAAATACCATCATCAACTGGCATAAAATATTACACAAAGACAATGTGCTACATCCTACTTTGCCAAATAGTGTCTGGGATCTTAAAAGCTCATAACTGGCCATCTATGGTGTAACTATTGATCTCTCCATGTGCAGAAGAAACAAGAGTGATGAGAATTGAAGAGGCTTGGAATCAACTAGTCCAATTTACTAATGGAACATGTGAACGTCAGTTTCCACAACTCTGAGATGAGAAGATCTGCATTGATACAACTACCAACTGATCTGAAAAGGATTACATTACAAGGACCTGAATACAGTGATAGAAAATGTAGAACAAAACTCAAAATTATACTAAAAGGACTGAGCTTACTGGTCAGAATGAGACTGAAGTAACCTAAGAATATGGTCCACTGCCACCCTTAAGGTCTGGAAAGAACTCAATTTTCAGTCAAGAAGTAGACAGGGATATAGGGAGATAACAATACTAGTTAAGGTTAAGCTCACCACAATCACTCCAAATCATAAGGGCAGCATTTCCCTAAGGACAAAGTTGAGAAAGGATGGGAAAGTGGGTGGAATGGAAATAGGAAAGCGCAGGGAGAAGTGGGATGACTGTTGTTGCATGGAGGGGATTGCAATCATTGAGATGAAACAAAGTGTGAGTACGTTGAATATAAAACTAATGATATGATCAGTAAAGCTTCACAAAATTCACAATGGAAAGTTATAAAACAAACTATATTCATATAAGATTAATATATAAAATTGAGACGTAACTATGAAACGATCGGGAATCCCAGCGTGATGCTATAGAATAAGCACTGGACTGTGAATTACAACATTGGTGGTTCAAACCCACCAGCTGCTCCTCGGAAGCTCAATAGAGGGTCACTATGAATAGGAACCTACTCGATGGCACTTGACAACAACAACAGCAGCAACAACATGAAATAATGGTATTAAGGAGGTATAACAGGAACAGAGAAATAAAACATAATAATGAGTTGAAAGTATGACTCCAATTTCAAAAGGTTTTATTTTTTTAATATGAAACATTACATAATGTTACTGTGAAATGCAGCAATGTGAAGTGGAAAAAATTACCTTGGCATAAAAACTTTCTATAAAGGAAAATAGTATAAATTATGGGTCCTGTACTCAAAAAAGCATTTACAATTAATCTTAGTAGATAAACACATTTCCCCAGCACAGTTGAAATATAGCTGAAATAGTTAATAATAATAATTTTTAAAAGTTTAAAAACTGAATGTATGTATAATGCTCTTAAAGCAGCTGATCAAATCACAGGTATTACCATGACCAATCAATTCATGATGTTGAGAATCTTTCATGTGATCGAGGCACTTTTAGCTATTGAGCGTTTGATGGGCACAAGGATAGGAAATTACCTCTTGGATTCTCCGGAAAATCTCAAAATCAGTCTACACTGGTTGAGACATGATTAAGCATTTGCTGCTCCTTCAATGATTAGTACTACTTGCAACAACAGTTCAGCAGAAGTGCACAAGTATGCAGAAATATGAACTTAATTCCTTTTAATGCCTTATTCATCAAGAAATCACTTTATGCTAGCAACAACAGCTACAAATGGGAACAGGTCATGGCCATAGTAATTAATTGAGTATTGAAGATGCTGTCTTGGCTATAACTACAAACAGCACAATGCTTGATAAACCAAATGCACAAGGTGGAATCTATCATACTACATGGGAGGGAAGTGGCTTGAGCAAACAATAAATTAAAAGAAATCAAACTGTTTAGATCATTCCAGGGAAGAGACCGACCCACTTCTGTTCACCTGCCAAGGCTGGATGAAAAACTTGCTCTTTTTGCTGACTTTATAACCTACTTAAATGCTTTGAATATTTCTCAGGAAGAACATTCACAGGTGACCACATAAGTGTATATATACATAATTCAATGGGTTCATCATAATTCAAGCTTCTTTCTTTGGAAGTATCATCAGGCAAGGAAAAATTTGGCCTATGTTACTACTGAGCTCAGTTTCCAGAAATCAAAATGATGGCTTCAAATATAGTCTAGATGAGTTAAAGATGGGGTTCCAAAATTTCCAACCATACAAAAATGAAAGGACTTTGCCACTTAATTTGTTTTCATGGTGAAAATATCATGCTTAAAACTGGAAAACACTGAACTTCAATGCATTCAACATAACAGAGTTTCCTAAGTGGTATGGCAACCACCAGTTATAAGCATGCTGAGTATCATATCCATGAGCCCGCCCTTGGGGCCACCAACCATGGGTCTGCCTAGTTATTATTTTCTGTTTGCTATTACACTGGAAGCCAGTATATTACTGCATTGAGAAGCAAACATTTCTTAAATGTGTCCTTTTACTACTCTTCAGCAGTACCTGTTTTGGATAGCTGTCATCCATTATTAAAAAAAGAAAAAGAAATATTGTTTAGAGTTACAGGACTTAAGGGTAAAATGTATGCTCTCTCTCCCTCCTACTGCCACTGAGGCAAGTCTTATAGAGACTCTTTATAGGATTCCCAAGACTATAATGGTTCATGGTAGCAGAAAGCCTCCTCTTCCTTCTACAGAGCAGCTGCAGGGTTTGAACTGCTGACCTTGTAGTTAGCAGTTCAATTCTTATCCCATGGCGTCATCAGAGCTCCTTAGACATTTCTGCTGCCCACTGTTATATACAATACTATCACTCACATCTTTGCACCAGAGTTCTGATTCCATACCAAAGAAGTGAATAATTACAGATGAAGACTTTTATGATTAAATACTACTATCTTTTTCATTTATAATGTCCAACTGTATGCATGTTTGGATGTCACATGCTTTAATAAATATATAGAACATTTGATGGTACCATTAGAATACTTTTACAACTGACTCTCTCTATGCTAGCAAACTTAGCAATTATGAAATAAAGGTTAGAAACTGGGTTGACCTCACAGTCTTTGACTTTAGCCAGTGCACACTGTTAGGACTCATACTTGTTTAAGAGATCAAAATCAGAAGAAAAGAAGGAAATTGAAGTTAAAACCTACATTTTTCTGAAGCTAAGCTTTTTTAATTTTTTTTCCAGATTAATAGGATAACATGAAAATGATTAAAACAAAGGCAAAATCTCGGTCTATAGCATGGGTGGGAAATGTCCAGCCCACAAGCTATATAAGGCTGGTGAAATCCTTTAGTCTTGCCCTGCCAAGGCAACCACAGTTCAAACCACCACATTAGGGGTGAGTTAATTAAACGTTTGAACAAATATACTGGATTAATTTTTAAGTTGATAATTTTGTATGGCACACGAATGATGTTATAATTATACAAATGGCCCTTGGCAGAAAAAAAGGATCCCCACTCCTGGTCTACATGAATAGACAATGTTTTAATATTGAGAACATACAACTTACTCTTGGAGTAGGTGACAAGCTCTGTACAACAAACACCACAGGGTTTCCTGCATTCTTAATGGCCTCTACTGCTTCTCCATGTGAGGCATTCTGTAAGTCTACTCCAGATACCTGAAACACAAAAGCCATTTATTTCAATTACAAAGGCACTAGATACTGTGGGCAGGTTAATTCAAACTTCAGGTGTATTATCTAGCTAAACCCTATAAGAACAGCTAGAGTCTAATAAGGTACAGGAGTCCTGGTGTGGTGCTGTGGGTTAATGTGCTAGACTTCAAAGTCGGTTTGAACTCCAAGGTTGGTGGTTCAAGCTCACCAGTGGCTCTCTGCAAACCCTCTGCAAGGTCGCTATGGGTTGGAACCAACTGGACAGCACTTAACAACAACAACATCAACAATAAGGTACAAACTGGGGTGTGAGGGGAGGGAGAGAAGTTGGTGGGTTTGAACCACTGATGTAATGGTTCACAGTCTGGTCCTTATCCTGTAACTCCACACCAGGAGTCCTTACTGTCTATAAAAGTCAAAATCTGTGAATACTACTTTAGCCTTACAGGATGAAACAAACAGGAAGATAAGTGGAGAAGGTAGTGGGATAAGAAGAAGTTCTGTTCTAAGATGGGAGCTACTACAGCATATTATGATACATAAGAGAGGAACAGATTAATGAAGGCAGGCAGACACAGTAATAGCAATATCCTTTGGCATTCACAAGGGAATGATTTCTATTGCACAAATCAGAGATGACTTTAGATAGACACACAAATAGTTCATTTTCTGCTAATGAGGAAAGGTAGATTACTTGGTAACAGATGAATTTAGTAAGAAGACATAGGAAGTGATGATAGGAAAGATTCGAAACCGAGATGTTGTTGTTATTGTTAAGTGCCACAGAGTTGGTTCCTACTCATAACAACCCTGTATAAATAAGGTTCCCAAGGAGCAGCTGGTAGGTTTGAACAACCGACCTTGTGGTTCGTAGTCAGTGCTGATCCTACAACACCACACAAGGACTTCTAAACTGAGTGAGACTCAGACCCAGGAAAGAAGTATTGGTGGTTTAAAATAGTTACCTATGAAGTAATTAGAGAAATGCAAATTGAAAATGAAATGAAGCTATCACTTTCACATCTAGAGAAAGGCTAGAGTGACACCACAAATGTTGGCAAGGCTGTAGAGAGACTAGATCTCTCTTATAGTGCTAGAGGGAAAATAAAATGATATAACTACTCTGGAAAACAGTTTGGCAGTTCCTTTTAAAATTAAAACTAAAATTATCGTATAACCTAGCAATTGTACTCTTGGGAATTTTCCCCAGACAAATTAAAATTTATTTTCATTTGGAACTTCTATATGAATATTCATAGCAGCTTTATTCATAATTGACAAGAACTGAAAGCTACTCAAATATGTCCATCAAAGAAAGAACGATTTTACAAACTGTGGTACACATTTATACCATGGACTAATGTTATTGTTGCTGATGCTAAGCGCTGTTGAGTCTGTTCCAACTCATAGCAACCTTGTATAGGGTTTACAAAGAGCAGCTGCTGGGTTTGAACTACCAACCATGTGGTTTGCAGTCCAGTGCTTGTCCTATAGCACCACACTACTAGTACTCAGCAATAAAAAGGAACGCTTCTTTGACAATTTTCACCATTTTAGCAAATGGGACTTCTATCCTGAAGTTATCTTTATACCCAATTTATTAGTAAATCCTGTTGTTTCATCTACAAAATAGACGCAGTATTTGAACAATTCACCATTTCCAGTGCTTTCACCCTGGTTTAAGCATCACCCCCTTTCAAAAGTCTGACATCTGAGGTTCCTCCGTCTACTCTCACTCTAGAAGCAAGAATAACAAATTAATAAATAAATGAACAGGTAGAAGGAGAGAAACAATTCTCCAGTGGCTTCCTACTGTATTCAGAACAAAACATCTTCCAGAAACCCTAGACCTCAAACTGTCCCTTGAATATAGCCAAGCACCAAGAATGACTCTTTCCAGAGCATCTGTGTATAAACTCTCTGTCTGGAGCCTTTGTCACCAATATATTCACACCCTCACCTCCTATATTTTGCTCTAATGTCATCTTCATTAACAAATCAATAAAAATTTCATCTACAACTTTCACTCCCCCACTCATCTGTCAGTTTGTTGTACTGTGGTGGCTTGTGTGTTGCTGTGATTCTGGAAGCTATGCCATGGATATTTTCAATACCAGCAGGGTCTCACCCATGGCGGACAGGCTGTACCTGCGCTTCCAGACAAAGACAGATCAGGAAAAAAAGCCGGACTACTTGTGAATATTAAGTCACTGAAAAACTTATGAATAACAGTAGAACACTGTCAGCTCCCAAGTACCAAATATGGAAACATAATGCAGGGCACCAGAATACTGTCATGTAGAGTGCCGGAAGGTGAGCCCCTTAGGCTGGAAGGCATTCAAAATACAACTGAGACCAAACATTAAAAGAAGAGCTATCACCAATTTTACTCAAACTATTCCAGAATATAGAAAAGAATGAAAAGTTTCCTAAAACATTTTATGAAGCAAGCATAATCCTCATACCAAAACCTAGGAAGGACATCACAAAAAAGAAAATTATAGACCAATATCCTTCATGAACATAGATGCACAAATTCTCAAAACAAAGTCCTAGCCAATAAAAGTCAACAACATATCAAAAAAATAATACATCATGACCAAGTGGGACTCATATCAGGGATGCAAGGATTACAAAATCAATCAATGTAATTCACCGTTTTGTTACTGTTGTTGTTATGTGCCATGGAGTCAGTCCCAACTCATAGTGACCCTGTACAGGGTTTCTGAGGCTGTAAATCTTGACAGAAGCAGAAAGCCTCCATACAAATTAAAAAAAAAAAAAAAAAGGGAAAGGAACCACATGATCATATTGATTGATGCAGAAAAGGCATTTGATAAAATGCAACATCCATTTCTGATAAAAAATTCAACAAATTAGGAATTTCTCAACATAATTAAGAACATATATACAAAACTAACAGTCAACATCACTCTCAGTAGAGAGAAATTGAAAGCCTTCCCTTTACGAACAAGAACCAGACAAGGATACCCTTTATCACCACTCCTATTCAGTATTGTGTTGAAAGTTGTAACCAAAGCTATAAGGCAAGAAAGGGAAATTAAAGGCACCCAAATTGTGAAAGAAAGAAAACTCTATTTGAAGATGATATTATCCTGTTCAAAAAACCCCCAAAGATTAAGCAAACAAACTTCGGGAACTCATTGGAAGACGCATCAATTTGGCAGGGTAGAAAATCAACAGGCAAAAATCAGTTGGATTCCACTATACTAAGAAAGATAGCTCTGAAAAGGATATTAGGAAAATAATACCATCTACAATAGCCACCCAAAGGATTAAACAATTAGGAGTAAATTTAACCAGAGAAACAAAAGACCTATACAAAGAAAACTACAAAACATTACACTACAAGAAACCAAAAGAGATTTACAAATTGGAAGCACATAACATGCCCTTGGATAGAAGACTTAACATTGTGAAAATATCAATCCTATACAACCAATGTATAGATACACGACAATTCCAATCCATATCCCAACAACAGTCTTTAAAAAGATGGAAAAACAATTACATACACATGAAAGAGAAAGAGTCCTCGGATAAGCAAAGTACTGCTAAAGAAAAACAACAAAGTTGGAGGCCTGTCATTTGCTTTCAAATTTTACTACATGACTACAGTGGTCAAAACAGCCTGGTATTAGTACACTGAGAGATATATAGATCAATGGAACAGAATTGAGAACCCAGAAGTGAATCCATCCACATACAGTCAATTGATCATTGAAAAAGGGCCAAAATACATTGAATGGGGAAGAAATACTCTCTTCAACAGATGGTGCTGGAAAAAACTGGAAATCAATATACGAAAGAATGAAGCAAGACATTTATCTCATATGTAGTGGTTACAAATTGGGCTGCTAATCTCACAGTCAGCAGTTCGAAACTACCAGCTGTTCCGCAGGAGAA